TAGTGATGCATAATAATTAAAATCAGAAAAAACTTCATTGGAAACGAAAATATACAGCACAAGTAATTGCATAGTTTTACATCAGACTTAATCAGTTATTTTGATGTTACGGAGGTTTGTTTGTCTTAAAATGATTCAGGGTATCCAGGTGGCCATCTGAAAATAGTGTATTCATCAGATAGCTAATTGAGATTTTGTTAAAACGTAGGTTGAAAACTGTTTCTGTAGACATTTTAATTTTATCATAAAGCATTTCAGGATCTGAAACTGTACCGAAGCAAATACAACTATGTTTAATCGTGCTGTTAAATCGTGGCATAAAAGGAGTAATTTAAACATGGTGCACGCCCGAAACTTAGAGTTTCCGTAGCCACTATTTCAAATATGATTGCAATTATGACACAGCTTCCTCTCTCTTGCCTAGATAGTACATTGATTTTTGTAGTTGAACGCTACAACTGCTCCAATTTCGAATTTAGACTATAGTTGTACCTTATGTGAGTTGATATCTTCCAAATTCTTATTCTATTGAATTTATAAAAGTAAGGAAATGATTGTGTATAAGATAGAGAACAAGAAAACTTACGAAGCCAAATCCATCCGTCCTGTATGTTGGTCCAACCATTTTGTACTGAGAATCGTATTTCTTAAGGAAAATCTTCATGTAAGGAATCTCATCAAATATGGCATCTATGCCTCCTCGTTGGCTTCCTCTAGTCATTCCCTCATGGTACTCTTCAACTGATGAGTATTCTTTGAGCCTTGACTCGTCAATGTGTAGTTGCTCTTTCAAAAATTCTTTCATAAAGGAACCCTCCTGATATCCCACATAATAATCCTCGGAAAAAGCAAATTTTAATTGATCTACGGTCAGAATAGCTGATAAGTTTGCTGTGTAGCTCTGCATGAGGATGAATGCCATAAACAACCAAAATACCAATACAATTATTGACCAGGTATTGGCCACCATATTCCCTGTCAAGAGTAATAAAAACAGTCTGATGTAAGCTTATTCTTCAAAGCATTGATTGGAAAATTTGGTATGTGTTCTAGGTGTCGAGAAAATATAAAGTAGTTTGGCTAGCTATTACTCAGCTTGTATGGCACAGATGGTCAGTTTTCCACTTGACACAGACACAGGAACCAAAGGTTCCAGGCACAAAGGAAATTATAAAACTAAGCATAATTTAAAAATTACTTTCAGGAAATGCAAGTACTGTTATTGGAGACCAGTAAGTCATTCGAAGTCTCTCCCTGTGTGGCCTAACTGACTCTTCATTTGTGTTTGGTACTCTGTGTTCCAGTATTCGAAGCACTATTCCCATCAAGATGCAGGCGACGATGATTGTCAGCCAAAGGTCCCTCCTCAAAGGCTTAACAAAAATCCACATGTCAAACGGCTTCTTATTTTTTACCACTACAACGACTCCTGGTTCAGCATATGGTAACGAAAACTCAACATAATCAGCTCGCGGAGCCCAAATTGTTGTATCTCCCACCACAATGTCAAATGCCTATTTCAAAAAGAAAAAGAAAAATGGTGCTATAATTAACATTGACGATTGAAGAATGAGATGAAGATCGAAGTACCTGAGGTATCTCCTGAAGCATGGCGTCGTAACTCCAGTTACTATTTTTGCTGTCATTATAATGATAAAATTCATATTTTGTAGGGAAAGGTAGCAACTGCAATGCTGCCAAGAAGATATCAATCGAAAAACCAGTTGCATTTGTACGATTTGCTGCAGCATCTATTTTTACATTTACAAATTCTGTGAATCCATGTTTCACCGGAACCCCAACTCTCAGTTTTCCTGTTGCAGGAAGGGCCCAGCCCTTTGGCTGTGTGACTGAATCTCCAGGCCACATGGCTTTTTTGAGACTTTTTGTGGATGAGGAGTGTGTTGGTCCACCAGTTGAACTTAATTCTCTAGATATTCCTTTATCCACTGTCCAAAATCCCACTGTTCTCTCTCCATTTCCAATTACATTGAATATCTCAAAGGCTGAAGGTTTCAGTTGCCCATTAATCAATTGAAATTCTCCAATCAAGCCTCTGAATTTTGTGCGTGACAATTCGTTGAGAAGTCTTGGTCCAAATGCTGAGATTTTTAAGTTTGCAGTATCTGTTCCATTTTTGCTGGTGTTCACATACAAGAAGCTAGAGTTCACTAGCCCAATCTTCTCTGCTGCTATTGCTAAGGAGTATATTGTGTCGTACAACCACAAACCATAGATATTTAAGTCCCTAACTGCACCTGTCCTATTCTTCAGCACCATATTCCTTTTCCCCCTTTCTTGGAAACTGTCCAGCTTTTCCGACCAGGATACNATATTTAAGTCCCTAACTGAACCTGTCCTATTCTTCAGAACCATATTCCTTTTCCACCGTTCTTGGAAACTGTCGAGCTTTTCCGACCAGGATACATATGGCCTTATACCCAAAACACCTTCCATTGAATCACGGGCTACAAAATCCGTGGAACTTAAGAAGTTGGATAAATAATCAGTAATAATCCAAGCATACCCTTCACTCATCATTCCTGCCTTTTTGGCAAGAGAAAATAGCTGGTAACCAAGTGATGGATTCATGTGCACCAGGAATACCCTCGTTTGCTTTGCCATAAGCTTTTTGAGTTCTTCTAATATTCTACTATCCTCGGATGATGTAGTGATGGCACTCATATATGCTATCCCAATATCAATTTTTTGGAATGCCTTATTCAGATGTGAAAGAAATTGATTGCCATATTCCGTGTCTTCGTACAAAATCACTACTTCAGACCATTGAAATTCTTGGCAAATGGCTGCGAGAGCTTGAGCTTGATACATATCATCTGGAGTAGTCCTAATAAAGTAGCGGTTTTGTGAATAGGGAAGAGTTGAACTTCTGGCGGTGAAAGAAATAACTGGCACATGAACTTTTCCACCTAGCTCTGCGAGGAATTTGTCTTCTGTTGCGACCTGTGGCCCCAAGATTCCATGCACTTCTTCATGCTTAAGTAAGTCAAGAACTGCATAACATATCGAAACATTATGATTCATCGTCAAGATTCCAGAAGGATAGGGGATATATATTTTGTGAGTGAGGTAGTGTCCTA